CATCTGCTACTGTCAGGATTAACTAATGGGGCACCTGCCACCGGCTGCTGTCAGGTTTAAGTAACCTGGCACCTGCCACCTGCTACTGTCAGGTTTAACTAACCTGGCACCTGCCACCTGCTACTGTCAGGTTTAACTAACCTGGCACCTGCCACCGGCTGCTGTCAGGTTTAACTAACCTGGCACCGGCCACCTGCTACTGTCAGGTTTAACTAACCTGGCACCTGCCATCTGCTACTGTCAGGTTTAGCTAACCTGGCACCTGCCATCTGCTACTGTCAGGTTTAGCTAACCTGGCACCTGCCATCTGCTACTGTCAGGTTTAGCTAACCTGGCACCTGCCATCTGCTACTGTCAGGATTAACTAATGGGGCACCTGCCACCCTCAGAAAATTATTCTGAACTTTTTCAAAGCTGACCTTCCATGCTTCAGTGGCCCAACTGGTAATGATCATAGCATCAATAATGAATTGCAATCAGTATCAGGTTCGAATCCCAGGGGTGGACATTCATTTACGGGTAACTGTTTAAGAGGAACATGGTATGTAAAGACCAACCTGACTAGAAACAAGTTGCATTTTCACATAACAGAAGGTATCCAGGCACAATGTTTGAAAACACTTACTGATAATACATGATCTATTAATTTGTTACCAAATACAGAGCATTATGGTAATATAAATAGACCTGTTCAAATATTATTTTTTCATATTATGGATTGTTTGTTCTGTGGAAAGTAGTATTTTCCCAAAGATTGATTACAGTTAAATCTCTTTGTAACACTTTACTAAGGCGATGATCAATGGACGGTTTGAGTAAAACACTGTGCAGACATGAAACAGGACTTGCTGCGCTATGGTAGGTTTTACATGTTGGACATGTTGGTGGGAGGAGAACATTTTGTTGAAACTGTTCTCGAACACAGCCTCAATTGTTTCTTCATGAAAATCTATTGATATTTAACCTCTGTTGATTACTCCTGAGTAATCGAGAGAGAAATTATGTTATGGCTTGGAAATGTGCTATGTGTTTTATCTGATTACATCATTGATTGGTGGACCAATGTTGGTGGACCAATGTTTGAGTAGAAATGTACTGGACATTTTACACTACTGGGTGGGTAAGTGTGTTTGCTTCACGCTGGGATGTTTGATTGTCTCTGTTTGATTCCTACCTGTTCATAGTTATTGATCAATATTGCTTTTTTGTTCGTTTGTTTGTTGTTTAATGCCACACTCAGCAATATTCCAGCTCTCTGACAGTGGTCTGTAAATAATCCTTTAAAAGATCAACATCATGAGCATTGTTCAAGTAGTTGGGATATAATGACATGTGTCAACCAAGTCAGCGAGTCTGACCATCTGATCCAGCTATTCGCCTTTTACAAGTATGGGTTGCTGAATACAAATCCTAACCCAGATCTTCTCAGGTAGATCAATATAATTCAAGATAAATCTGTTTCCAGTATTCAGATGATCTCTTAAAATGAATAATATGTTGAAGCAATGGGATACTTTGTGCCACAACACTTAGACATGCATGATAGACAAGTAAAATGATATGGAAATATATTCTAAAATGTGCAACAGAATGCTCCAGTCCCTGTTAATTGATTTAGTTTAAGTGTCCCTTGTCATTGGTGAGTGAATGGTCTTGAAGAGTGCCGGTGTCACATTGTGCTGTATGTTCCCTCATTAAACACTGAGAGCAGGATCCTTAATAATTTCAATTTACTTTGATAGCTTTTCCCTCTCAAAAGCTTAATTTTTGGCACCTGTTTTTTATTCTTCTTTGAAGTGGCAGCTTATTGTAAGAACTTTATGGTAGTCCCATGTAATGTGGGAAGTCATCAGCTGTACCCCATCTTGCCCTTCATGGAGGCCATCTGTTAGCAGAGGGAATGTGGTTACTAATGGTTTATTTTGTTTCACTTGTAATATTGACTGAATCTGTAAACCAACACGGCATGACTCCTCACAAGGTACTTGGTTTTTTAAAACTTTCAGCATAACATTGATTGATTGCAGTGCACCACATGGTGATTTCCATCAATAAATAGATTTTTGTATAGAATTGTGTATATCAAGCAAGATGTTTTTCCTCCTTATCAAAATGATCAAACAGATCAACAGTTAGTTGAGTCTCTGTAAGTCTGGTTTCAGTTAGTCTGGTCCCTGTTAGTCTGGTCCCTGTTAGTCTGGTCCCTGTTAGTCTGGTCCCTGTTAGTCTGGTCCCTGTTAGTCCCTGTTTGTCTGGTCCTGTTAGTCTGGTCCCTGTTAGTCTGGTCCCTGTTTGTCTGGTCCCTGTTAGTCTGGTCCCTGTTAGTCTGGTCCCTGTTAGTCTGGTCCCTGTTAGTCTGGTCCTGTTAGTCTGGTCCCTGTCTGGTCCTGTTGTCTGGTCCCTGTTGTCTGTCCCTGGTCCCCTGTTAGTCTGGTCCCTGTTAGTCTGGTCCCTGTTAGTCTGGTCCCTGTTAGTCTGGTCCCTGTTAGTCTGGTCCCTGTTAGTCTGGTCCCTGTTAGTCTGGTCCCTGTTAGTCTGGTCCCTGTTAGTCTGGTCCCTGTTAGTCTGGTCCCTGTTAGTCTGGTCCCTGTTAGTCTGGTCCCTGTTAGTCTGGTCCCTGTTAGTCTGGTCCCTGTTAGTCTGGTCCCTGTTAGTCTGGTCCCTGTTAGTCTGGTCCCTGTTAGTCTGGTCCCTGTTAGTCTGGTCCCTGTTTGTCTGGTCCCTGTTAGTCTGGTCCCTGTTAGTCTGGTCCCTGTTAGTCTGGTCCCTGTTAGTCTGGTCCCTGTTAGTCTGGTCCCTGTTAGTCTGGTCCCTGTTAGTCTGGTCCCTGTTGTTAACAATCTGGTCCCTGTTAGTCTGGTCCCTGTTAGTCTGGTCCCTGTTTGTCTGGTCCCTGTTAGTCTGGTCCCAGTTAGTCTGGTCCCTGTTAGTCTGGTCCCTGTTAGTCTGATCCCTGTTAGTCTGGTCCCAGTTAGTCAGGTTCCTGTTCGACTGGCCCCAGCTAGTGTTGCTCCTGTTAGTCTGGTTCCTTTTAGTTGGGTCCTAGTTGGTCTTAACAATGTTAATATGGACCCTGATAGTCTGGTTCCTGTTATGTTATACCCAATTTGTCTGTTACATGTTTGTCTACTAGTCTTATTCCTTCTAGTCTGGACCATGTTAGACATTGCCTTTTCAGCATTATCTGGAAGATGTTTCGGGCTATATATATTATTCTGGAATCTAAAAACACAAATAAAAAATCAGGAAATTGGATTACCATGCAAGTTAAATGGTTTAACTGTTCATGGAATACCTAACTAGCCACCGTGGAGATGTTTAGATTTCACTTAGCTGACCCAAACTATCTCTAGTATGTGACAAACATGTGGATTCAAAAGGAAACAATGAAGAGCATCTGATTGATTTCACAGTTTGTGAACGGAGATCACAGTGTTAATAGCATGCATTATGTTATTTGTTTGAGGTATCAAGATGTTATACATTAAGGTGTGGAGTTACATCAATATTCAGTAATCCTATTGATTAAACATGTGAAGAAGAAGTTTTATATATATTCCTACAATACGTCTTGTTTAGCAGCATTGATTTTCTTGAGCATGTTGAGTGAGCGAGTGAAGTACTTTATTCTGTTCTGACACATTTTCTTGGGTAACACCAGCTCTGCCTGACATTTAAAACAGACTGACCCTGTGCCAGTGGTGACAAGCGGGGTCAGGGTTTGTTTGGATTGGGCAAACTGTCATTAACATTTGGGGCACAGACAATGACTTGATGTATTCACAAATTATCTCTCCTGTGCTTTGCTGAGTGAATTTTATTCCAAAGTCTTGAAAGTGTCAGAAACAATGCAAACCCTTCGCATAACCCTGATTGTTAAAAGTAAAGATTGTGTCTGTTAAAATGTTGTCAAAAATCACATGTAGGGATAGAAGTATTTTCTCGGTCCACAAACCTGATCTGCTACCTAGTTGCCATATCAGTCTCATCAAAAAATCATTTGAGTCTTCAAGCAGAAGCATGGCTGAAGTGTTGTCACTGGGAGTATCATTATCTGAAGCTGCTACTCCAAACACAATTTCACTGGTGTCATGTTGCCATGTACCTAGTGGTGCAAGTGGTAGTCCACTAGTCCTGTTACAGTGATGCCATGTACCTAGTGGTGCAAGTGGTAGTCCACTAGTCCTGCTACAGTGTTAGTCCACTGCCATCTACCTAGTGGTGCAAGTGTTAGTCCACTAGTCCTGCTACAGTGTTGGTAGTCCACTAGTCCTGCTACAGTGTTGCCATCTACCTAGTGGTGCAAGTGGTAGTCCACTAGTCCTGCTACAGTGTTGGTAGTCCACTAGTCCTGCTACAGTGTTGCCATGTACCTAGTGGTGCAAGTGGTAGTCCACTAGTCCTGCTACAGTGTTGCCATGTACCTAGTGGTGCAAGTGGTAGTCCACTAGTCCTGCTACAGTGTTGGTAGTCCACTAGTCCTGCTACAGTGTTGCCATGTACCTAGTGGTGCAAGTGGTAGTCCACTAGTCCTGCTACAGTGTTGCCATGTACCTAGTGGTGCAAGTGGTAGTCCACTAGTCCTGCTACAGTGTTGGTAGTCCACAATGAAATGTCACTAGTCCTTCCTCAGTCTCAATCTCAGTCTTGTAGATCTTTCAGCTTATGATATCTCTGAACCCTGCCAGTGCCCATTCATTTGAAACGTTGGTAAATAAGACACTTTCAACATAAGTTAATTAGGGACAGATAATTTGTTAGTAGAGTTATTTGTGATCTTTTGTAAGGTATTCATAACCTACTGGCATCTTTGTCATTGAATCGGTGCAACAAAGTGATAAAACGTGCGTGCACCCAATAACATATTTCTGCTGTGTGTTCTGTTACCATGGTAACTATCATGATCACCATCTTCTTTTAGGAGTACCATATGCTTGTCATAAATGTTAGTAATAATGATTGATGATTTAACTAATTTAAAAAAAAATATTTTTTTACAGGTGTGACAGTTGTCAAGTTTACACTGAAAAGCAAGAGTTGACCAACAAGATCTGGCAAGGTAGGTACCGGTACCTGTTTTTCTGATTTTTGTGACAGCCAATCCTAGTGGCATCGCTTCACAGTTCATGTTATTCAGAATTCTATATAAACACAGAAAAATTAACAGTGACTTAGAAGGAGAAAAAAAGAACTCTTTTAAATGCATTATCTGATTACCAGTTACACTTGTATCTGTTTCACATTTGTTTTGCCTCAAGGTCATGTCCTGTATTTACAGAATCCATAAAACCTCTTTGGAATCTCACTGCATATGTGCGATAGACATTGTGATGACAAATCTTCTAACACATCTTAGCAACTGGTGTAAAATATTATTCAACAGAAATGATTAAAACACAAACCAAAAATTAATGGTCACAGACAGTCGTAGATAAAACTTTCCTATTTTCCTATACACATAAAGGGCCATGTTCCCACAGACCTGTAAGAGAACTACCACATACAGACAACAGTGCCCTGGTCAGAGTCTTGTAACTACAGGAACATGTTTAGCCCAGTAGATGAATAGCAATTACATTTCCCCATACAAAACATAGTGATTACCTCAAACAAATGTGTTCGTCACAGCACAGGGTATTGAGATGGGACTAAATGCCTATAAGAAAGGAAAGGAACATTTTCTATAAATAACTGAATGTATAAAGTCGAAATAAATGAAATCAAATAACTGGTTTTCAAGTTTAAACACTGCACAAGCTAGTTTTTCAGTCGTTTTTATATGGTTGTTAGAATACTTAAATTACCATTGAACGTGATGACGGCTTGCAACAAGAACTCCAGGCCAGTGTCTTGAAGTCCTTAATGAGCCATTTCAGTTCCCTTGGTGCCTCAAACGGTACCCTTAAGGGCCACAAATTATGGTTGCTAGAAAATCAATATCCAAAGAGAGTGGCCAGTGGCACGTCAAGGTCGATTATTGCTCAGCAAATTACGTGTAGCAATTTCTATCAGTTAAAGAATTGTCCAGTAAGGATGTCAAAAGTATTCTGCAGGTGTCCGATTTCATCGTCGTTTCCAATTAGAGGTCTGTATAGAAAGAGAGGTCTTGGTCAATGGTAGTGTAATTGATTGGGTTTCCTTATATTGATTATTGGGAATGGTGGTGCTTAAGTTGGTAATGATACCAATATTTGGGTCATAATGTCTGTGGTTGTTTTTAGTCTCTGTTGGGTTGATTCTGGCTAGTAAATATTGAGTTAGCAAAGTTAATGTCTGCTGTGGAAATTTGATCTTGTGAATCCTTCCTGACTCATATTTGGGAAGTGTGTTATGATTCATTATTCAAATTATTATATGGGGTTGTGCACTGTGTTTGAAAGTTTACATTCTGACTGAGGAAATGCTGCATTTTGTTTGTACACATACACATGATTCATATCATTCTAGATTATGTAAGCATGGGCACGTCTAGTGACCTATGGATTCCAAAATCACAGCTTGAAGTAGCTCACCTGACTGCAAGTCCATATTTGCTGCAGACTTAGAGGCAAGTCTTTGAACCTACAGCATTTCCAAGAGGGGTCTCCAGGGATTTACTTGGAGTCTTGTAGTTGAGGGTCCCTGGGACTCATATTCTTAACTTTCAGGGGTCCTGGACTACAAAATGGAGGTCCCAGACACTTAAATATTATTATTAATACTGTTATTGTATTGTGTATCATGGTCATCACATTGTTACAGTAATTAAATTGCAAATAATACCATAACCCAGCTAGTAACAAACTCAGTGATAACTTATTGTCACCTAATTGGAATTTTTACAAAAAGTATTTGGACTTTTTCTGAGTCCCTGTGGATGTGCTAATAAATTTTGTTGCGTCCATTGTCAATTTTTATTAGTATAGGACACAGGTATTCGCATCCTGTAAATCCCTGGGTCTCTTTCTTGTCAAGGACTAGCTAAAATGTACATCTTGTGATGCCTGGTAACCCATGCAATGACCTTTCCAAGGGAAAGCTTTGTCCATGTAGCATGCACTTCAGTGTCTGCTTATGATACCGATGCATGAATGATGAAGTATCTTCTCCTCTGGCACTCATGACTGATGAAGTATCTTGTCTTCTGGCACTGCTAGACTGATGAAGTATCTTCTCTTCTGGCACTGCAAGACTAATGAAGTATCTTCTCCTCTGGCACTGCAAGACTGATGAAGTATTTTTCCCTCTGGCACTGCAAGACTGATGAAGTGTCTTTTCCTCTGGCACTGCAAGACTGATGAAGTATCTTCTCCTCTGGCACTGCTAGACCGATGAAGTATCTTCTCCTCTGGCACTACAAGACTGATGAAGTATCTTCTCTGGCACTGCTAGACTGATGAAGTGTCTTCTGATCTGGCACTACTAGACTGATGAAGTGTCTTCTGATCTGGCACTGCAAGACTGATGAAGTATCTTTCCCTCTGGCACTGCTAGACTGATTAAGTGTCTTCTGATCTGGCACTGCAAGACTGATGAAGTATCTTTTCCTCTGGCACTGCAAAACTGATGGAGTATCTTTTCCTCTGGCACTTCTAGACTGATGAAGTGTCTTCTGACCTGGCACTACTAGACTGATGAAGTATCTTCTTCCCTGGCTCTGCTAGACTGATGAAGTATCTCCTCCTCTGGCACTGCAAGATGGATGAAGTATCTCCTCCTCTGGCACTGCAAGGCTGATGAAGTATCTTTTTCCCTGGCTCTGCTAGACTGATGAAGTATCTCCTCCTCTGGCACTGCAAGATGGATGAAGTATCTCCTCCTCTGGCACTGCAAGGCTGATGAAGTATCTTCTTCCCTGGCTCTGCTAGACTGATGAAGTATCTTCTCTTCTGGCACTGCAAGACTGATGAAGTATCTTCTCTGGCACTGCAAGACTGATGAAGTATCTTTTCCTCTGGTACTGCTAGACTGATGAAGTGTCTTCTGATCTGGCACTACTAGACTGAAGAAGTGTCTTCTGATCTGGCACTACTAGACTGATGAAGTGTCTTCTTCCCTGGCTCTGCTAGACTGATGAAGTGTCACCTCTGGCATTTTGAAACTGATGAAGGTATGTTCTCTTCTGGCACTGCTGGGGCCGGTGGGGTAGCCTAGTGGTTAAAGCGTTGGCCCGTCACGCCAAAGACCCGGGTTCGATTCCCCACATGGGCACAATGTGTTAAGCCCATTTCTGGTGTCCCCCGCCGTGATATTGCTGGAATATTGCTAAAAGTGGCGTAAAACTAAACTCAGTCAGTCAGTCTGGCACTGCTAGACAGACAAAGCTGAAATGTAGCATGTCTGTTGACATCTTATCATGATGGTACTATTTGAAAAATTAACTTTTACCAGATATTGATTAAGACAGTTCAGCAAGTTGTTGTGACACCTGGGCACAAGGCTTTGTGTGCCTTTGTGGCCATGCTATCAAGATCCAAGTTTGTTCATGGCATCACTATTTGCACTCAGCATCATTTTCCTCAAGGATGTGACATAAATTATCATTTTCATCAACAATGTTTTGCACTATTTCTTTGGCAACTGCATTATCTATTTATATTGTAAAACAAGTATTTTGTAATACAAGATTTCACTGACAATATATTAGTCTGTTACAGGATAGAGAGTTCAAAGTTTCATTGTGTACCAATACCTTGTGCCCTGACAGCAATTTTATACTGTTTGGTCTTTAATAAGGATTGGAAGTTGGTAGTTCATAGGGACCCAAGATTATTAAGGAAGTCAACATCAGTAATCTTGTACCAGATATTTTTAGGCGACTTCTTGCCCTCTTCATCTGGAAGAGACTGTGTTAATGTAAGCTCTTAAACCAACCTCACTCTTTTGCTTGTCAGTAATCAGCTTGGCACAATTCACCTTGTATATAATACACCACTTCACCACTTCAGCTTGTATATAATACACCACTTCAGCTTGTATATAATACCCCACTTCAGCTTGTATATAATACCCCACTTCAGCTTGTATATAATACACCACTTCACCTTGTATATAATACACCACTTCACCACTTCAGCTTGTATATAATACACCACTTCAGCTTGTATATAATACACCACTTCACCTTGTATATAATACACCACTTCACCTTGTATATAATACACCACTTCACCACTTCAGCTTGTATATAATACACCACTTCAGCCTGTATATAATACCCCACTTCAGCTTGTATATAATACACCACTTCAGCTTGTATATAATACACCACTTCACCTTGTATATAAAATTTCTGTTTTATGTAACATTTTTGTCTAATGTATGATGTTTTCTGTTTGTTGTGATTTAAGAATGATTTGGTTTTCAAGAAATAGCCATTTTGAAATTGTTCCCTCTCTGAACTGAACTTGAAACCATTATCTTGTGAAGGAGGTCAAGGAGTTGAGACTAAACTAAATGGATTTGATACCAGAGTTGGAATGATGGCCAAGTGGTTACTGTGTTTGCTTGGCCCGCTGTACATCCACGTTTGAGTCCCAACATGGTGTCCTCAGCCTTGAGAATGTTGTAATATTGCCAAAAGGGAACAGGATAGAGAGTTGCCAGAAAATATCCAAGCTGGTTTCTGTTGCTCATTAATTCTCATCCTCCTTGGTCAGTAGGCACAAATACTAAGCTAGTCAGTTCATCAACTTGGTACACCACAAGCTGCATCACTTTAAGCTTTCATCCCAGCTTAAAACCTACTAGACAATATGACTTCAAGACTATTTCACTGATGATTCCCTATACACAGTCTCTATTACCCCACGCAGCACATGTATTCAGCCATGTGTAATATTCAGTGGGAATAATTATGGAAAACAGGTCAACTGAATATATACTATTGTGTTGGCACTGAACAGATGATACACTAAGTCATTCATGCCATGCAGAAGATGACACTTGCAATCAGATGCGTGAATAGTCAAACTGTTCAGCACACCAAAGTGGTGTCCCATTGGTCGAGGCAGGGCACCATCTTGCCATGCAGTGTGGCATCACTTTGCCATGTTAGCTCATCAGACCAATCTATACAGC